CACAGTCAGAAAGATGAGGAACTCGTGAAAATTGTATGCATATATCTCGTATATTGTCATACTACACCTGGTATGAGGGTCTGTGAAGATAAATCCTTTAGTAGCTAACAAACTATTCCTACTACCACATCTTTTAGGATACATATACAATTTATATATATAAAAACGTAAGCGTGTTTGTCTTCTTTCCACCAGTATTTCTAGTTTGGCTGTAGGACATATGGTTTTCTTATGAGGTGCCTCAGAATGCAGAGTGTGATGTTTCATTTATTCTTAGCCATTATAACTTGTTCGTCTCCTTGGTTCAAATTGATTTGTTAGGAGTGTTTTGACTCAAATCTCTGACATACAGTGCTGTAAAAAATGTAACAATTTACATGAGTGTGAACCAATTTCTTCACTCGCCCACTGTTACGAAATTTTTTCAATAGACTAGAATATAGTTTTTACACAGTGGCTGTTAATTTGAATGAACTATTTCAGATAATTTTTAATATTTCTGTGTGCTCACAACTAATTCTGCCTGCACACTAAGGGCAGAAAAAACTGGCTTTCTGATTGGCTGTGGCTGTTTCCACTGTATATGGACAGACAGGTCACAAGATGAAAAAAAGAGTAAATGTAATTCAACATGGCACCCATATAACTCAGTCATTCAGAGTGAGCACTAACACATTCTGAGTGCAAATCCAAAGTTCAAGATGCCTTCCAAAGCTAATAAGGAAACATGGCTATAACTCAAGACATTTTTATAATTACTGAGCTGAAATTTGGTATAGTCGTTGTAATCCCTAATAGATTATTCAAATTCAAATTCAAAAGTACTTTATTAATTCCAAAGGGAAATTATTTGTTGTTGTAACTCGTTATCCTCATTTCATTAAGAGATGTTATAGATACTAATGGCTGTAGGCAGGAAGGATCTCTTGTAAAGGTCCATCCCACAGTGGATCCTAAGAAACTGGCTGCAGATGCCGTTTGATCCATCCACACAGACTCGGCTGGTCTCTCAGTTCCCATGAGCTGTAGGACCACCCAAATGACGGGCAGAACTCCTCCCAGAGTGATGGCCACTCCTCCCAGCAGCCTGCCGAGCTCCTCGTCGCTGTGGACAGCCAACTGTGCCAAGGGACGATCCTGTCCTTCTGCTGTCATGACCCATGTTTCCTGCTAGTTCTAGGATCTCAGTGGTCAGGCACTCGAGCACAGCCAGCAGGTAGATGAGAATGCGTCCACAGAACATCCTTTTCAACTCCTTTGAAATTTGGGGCTGTAGTTGAGATATTATTTGAGCTTTTGAGATGTTAATCAGCTGCTGTTGGTTGTAGAAAACTGGCCTTGTTGCCATGGTTTTGCATCATAACAAATGTCCAAAACTAACAAAGTTTAGGTAAAAATCCTTCCAGCTGCACAGCATCTGATAGCAGAGGAAACTATCATCCAAAAATTGTGATTTACATCCAGAAAAAGAGGAATTAAAGTTTCCAAAAGCAAAATCTCAGAATGAAAGTAACAGAGCTGCTCCAACATGCAGCCACCTTGAGCGGGGCAATTCTAGAACACGTATATTTATACATACATATATATATATATATATATATATATATATATAAACCATCAGACCTCTGCAGGCTGCAAAAGTGATTGTTTTTTGTGATCGGCACTGAATGGCATTGATCGATCAGCCGATCACATACTTTTTAACAGTAATCGTCCAAGCATGATCGGTGGCCGATCGATCGGAACATCTCTACTCGAAACTTCTAAACTTCTAGCTGATGTTCCAAACTCTGAAAAGGCTCTGACGTATTTCTAACTTCACTTCATTAAACTTCAAATCAGAAAGTCCAAACTCTTTCTTCGACAATGTCTACAGTGAATCATGAAAATAATCATGCTAAATAAAGAATGCTTTATTCAATAAAAGTGAAAGTATTTTATTTTGGTCAGATCTAATAAAATGTGGTAAGGTTCTGTATAACGACCTGGAAATTTAAGGAAAAAGTTGGTAAGTTGGAATTGTTTTTCTGTCATAAAAACAAAAGCTCTTTTTTTTCTGTTCCACTTTAGATGAAAGACTCGTTGTTGAACCTCCAGCGAGGCATTGGTTTGAGAGACTACAACTCTGAGACTGAGGAGAAGCCAAGTCGCTATCACTGACACACCACCACAAGGCCATGAGGGCATGCTGTGCAATATAGGACCGGTTCTGTTTGTGAAGCAGTATGCAGGCAACAGCAACACAGAGAGAACACAGACGGAGGCCAACAGTGAGCGGGTCCAAAGACACAAAGAAAGGAACTGTAGTAGTTTCCAGCGCACAGAAGTTCAAACGTCCCACCTGAGGGGTTAGCGGACACACTCAGGAGCTGAGGTATTCTCAACATCACTGAAGCATTGTTGTTCTCTAAACTTGTGGGATAAATGTTTCCTTCTACTGTCTTTATTTCCAAGTGCATCCTACTGTAAGCCATGCCAACAGGAGAGGGGCTCAGAATAACAAAGGAACTACTGCATGCATGTAGGCAGCCTAGCTCTCTTCAGTCAGTCATTGTTGCTGTGGTCCAGTTCCAGTCTATATGTGTATCAATAAACAAGAAAACAAAAAAGCAGAAGAGAGATCGCAACAAAGAAAAAGGGGCCTTTTTAAGTTTTAATGACTTTTTTCTCTCCTGACTGTTCCAGACCAATTGTCCCCTTGAGGTTCTTGCTGCAGCGTCCCTTTAATGAGCCTCGAGGTAATCAGAAGAAAGCTTGGCTCCACTAAAGAAAACAAGGAGATCCACTCATCAGTCCTTGTTTAAAGCAAGCCTGCACGGTTCCTGTCAGGGCTGGTACCCTGTCAGACCATTGTGTTGGAAAAATGAAAGAGTAATAAAACCCAAGTCCAACATTTTTTACCTCAAACATCACGATCGCCGCCACAGTGTTACTTGACATTGCATTATTTCCCATCTTTTAGATAAAGTGGAATGTATTTGCTTGGAAATAAATAGATCCTATTTTAGTCACAACCAGTTAGCATTGGAAATGGGGACTCTGCAGCCAGACCGAGAGGGAGACCTGTAATCTTATGTTTTATTACTAAACTGTGATTAAATCTCTTTAAAAGATGTTTTGAATTGCAAAGAATTCTATGAATATATTTGAAATATATAGAAATATTTCAGTATTTCAAATATATATTTCGAAATGTATAAACATTGCTTATATTTATTGGTAATTTATGTACATACAGAAATGAACAGAGCTCTAGACCATTTAAAGAATTTCTAATGAAACGTGTTTAAGAAAATGCATGCCAGATATGTCTGTGACATGTCAAGTGTGCAGCTATATGATTTTACATTTGCTCGATTATGTTCACACACGTGTGAATGTATGCGTGTGTGTGTGTGTGTGTCTGTGTAGGTGTGTGTGTCCGAACGTTTTTACTATTCCCCACTTGTCTGTGTCATATTTTCTCCTCTTCTGATTTCTCCAGCCAGACTGCCTTTTTTATGTTGAATGCTTATGTGTTTAGATTCCACCTTGAATTTTAGTCCCACCAAGGTCCAGTTTACAGTTGAAGAGTGTCGTTCCAGATTGCTGTATTTAGTTTCAAGAAACTATTCCACAGCTGCTTTTACAAGGGACAACTTATAGGGATAGTTAAGAATTTTTAAATGGGGTTTTAATCCATGAACCATGAACATCTCACTTGGTGTAGAGAATGCTTTAAACAACCTCCGTTTGAAGAAGTAGAGTTTATTCCTGACTGGATTGAAGAGCTAATGACCAGGAAGTAGATTGCTGCCATTTAGCAACACATCTTTCTTAAACTGGCTCATGCATGTATCATGTCTAGACTGGACTATTGCAATGGTTTGTTATCTGGGCGTCCAAATACTTCTTTAAAAAGTCTTCAGTTCATCTAAAATGCTGCTACCAGAGTCTTAACTGGAGTTAGTAGAAGAGATCATATCTCTCCAGTTTTAGCTTCTCTCCAATGACTCCCTGTCAAGTTCAGAATTGAATTCAAAATATTACTTCTAACCTACAAAGTTCTCAACAACCTAGCTCCATCTTATATTATAGATCTTATTGTTCCATAATTTCGTAACAGATCACTTCACTCTCAGACTGCAGGTTTACTTGTGATTAGTTTCTAAAAGCAGAATTGGAGGAAGATCTTTCAGTTATCAGGCTCCGCTCTTGTTGAACCAACTTCCAGTTTCTGTCCATGAGGCGACACATTGTCCAGTTTTAAGACTGGGATTAAGACTTTCCTTTATGATCAATCCTATAGTTAGAGTTGGCTTGTCCTGCTTCTTATGCTTAGACTACTGGAGGACAAATTGACCTAATTTCTTAAAATGAATTGTTAAAACTGAATAGTTTTCATTTGATACTATTTCTATCTTAACATGTGATTCTCAACCTGCCATTGTGTATCTGTTCCTCCTTCCTGTTCCTCTCAAACCAGCCCTTAGATAGAGAACTTTACTAATTGGCTTTTATGTGTGTGAATGTTCCGGTAAAGTGCCCTGAGACAACTTTGTTGTGATTTGGCGCTATATAAATAAACTGAATTGTATTGAATAACCTAAGTAAAGGATTGTGTAACTTCAAAATTGACAGAAATATTAATGTTTATAAAATTGATTTATTAACAATCTCTGAAATTTTTGAGACTGGAGTTGTTTTAAGATGGCAGCAATCCATTTTTGGCTTTATCCAGATTTAACTGTCACTCTGATCAGAAATAAATAAAAAAAAATTCCACCCGAGGTTGTTCAAACAGCAATCTACAACAGCTAAGAAATTGATGGTTTATAATCATTGCTCTGAACACAACTTGAAAATGTGTGAAGTATTAGTTTAAAGTATTTTTGGCACATGTATAGTAGAATAAATATTCCGGCAGATGATCAAAACTGCTCATATTAAATTGTGAACTTGATGGGTTTTCTCTTCTAAATGGATATGGAACATTTTGGAGAAGAACCATTTATTGGACCTCGATGAGTTCCTGGTTTGGTTTGGTTACAGCTTCAGCAGCATGACCTCTGTGTGCTGAAATGAGACTTCTTGACATTTTGAGAAACACCTTCATTTGCATTGTTGCTGCCAACTAATTGAAAGAATTCAAACCATTTTCATCTGTATGGTGAACAACTAAATAAACATAAAGGGAATGAATGTCCAGATAATTTAGACGAAATTTGTCTCCAGTTGAAAAATATCATCATCTAACTAAACAAAATTAAGAAATAAACAAATAATTTCTCAAAATGTCAAACTAGCTCTTTTAATCCAGAATAAACTTTACTCCTTTTTTCATTTCAGGTGTCTGTTTTGGGTGAAAAAGCATGAAAAATAAACTTTACACAACTTTTTTTTTAAGTCGAAATGTACTGTCATAGATTATTATGTTTTAAATAAAGTATTTATCATGTATGTCATGTACTGTACTATATATAAATATACTGAAAACAGTGTGTTATATTGCATCTTTTAGCAGTTTGTTAACAGAGACCCCTTACAGCACTTCCAAAGTGAAAATTAAAGATTCTTCTTTCTCTTGTAAAAACAGTGAAGCACTTTAAAGGATGTTCAGGGAGTGACTCAAAGGGGAAAATGTTTAGTTTTGGAAGGGACTGTAGAGGAAATACCAGATTGGGGTTTTAGGACTTTCAAACTAGTTAGTTGGTTTTTTTTTGTTTGTTTTTTTTTTGTTTGTTTGTTTTGTTTTTTTACTGAGATCTTTATTAAATTTATCCCAAATAAACCATCAGATCTCAGGACTGACTGAAACACTTCCACATTGATTTTTAGAGCAGGAAATTGTTATTTGTTTGAGGTAAATGTGTTTTTACCATGTGCCTGCAAAGTCTAGTAATGACTAATGTGGTGTAATGAGTAGAAAAGCTTCAGGACTGGATCACTGATGTGTGTGTGCTTTATTACATTTAAAGACGGCACAGAGTAATAACAGCACAGACACCTATAGAGGTCTGAATGTTAAAGGACGTGTTTAACAGACATCACTATAATCCTGATTCCTCGGACAGATTAACACGTTGTGCTTTGTATGTACGATGGTGCAGAAAGCTAAAATAGAAAAGCATAAAATATATTTTATTCATGAAGTTGTTTTTATTATTTTTTTATTAATATTGCAAACATCAGTGGTTTGAGGAGTGATGAACACTTGATTAAAGTGGCTAAACTTAGACGTTTTCAAGAAATGATCCAAAAGCATTTACAATTATGCAAAAAGAGTTTAAACGTCCCAAGTTTTTGTCCAGCTTTTGTATGCTTATTTTTGGATTTGTTTGTTTTCTAGCCTATTCTCACAGCTAACCTTTGTCAGATAAATGATTGCATGTTGTGTGAACCCATTGACGTGAAGGTTTTGAACTTTGGGACTGTCCTGCTTCATTGACTGTTGGCATTTGCCTTCCTGTCACAGAGCTGGTAAGGCTGCGGTGCCAACCATGCAACTCAGTGCTATAAGAGCCTTTGTATGACACATCAGGAATCACTCAACCTCCTGAAAACCACCACTGATCAAACTCAAAGGCTCCTCTTCAAGTGTGTCTTCAGAAAATGTAAAAGAAAAGTTTTTCTTTAAAGAAAAAAATTCTGTCTTTTTTTTTTTTTTTTTAGAAAATGTTTTCATCTATACCTTTGGTGAAATTTATACACAAGATGAATATACTGTAAGTATATGTTGTGTATATCTGTAGTGTGCACACAAACACACTGACAAAAGAACCTAGCCTGCGCTGTGCGCAGGTTTTTGACTTGATTTTGCCTCACGGAAACCGAAGAGAGATGTGGCTTTCAGGTTCATGTGAAGTAGGTACTAGAAGTATGAATAAAGAAAAAATATCTAAACAAATAATTTTGGTGATTTGGTGTGATTTTGTCTTTTTGTCTTACTCAAATAATCAAATTTCAAGGAATAGTCTGATTTTTTTAAATGATGTTCAGTCAAAAATTATCAATAGTTTTCAATATCAGTAGTAACTTATCAGCCCAGACTTCAGTCATAGAGCAGAGAAAAAGACAGAAGTCTCTGTCCAGGCTAGACAAAAGACTAGCCAAAATAATGGCTGCCAGTTTTAATGTTTTTTAGGGTTTTGAAACAACTTTTTCTCAAATATGACATACTAGAGTAAAAGAACATTTTGTTTTTACATTAAATCTCTACACCTTTGCATACCACCATTTGTTTTGTAACAAGGACATTGTTTAGTTCAGAAAATGTCAAACTTAACTTCCTGCAACCCATGGGTCAAAATGACCACAACGTCTCAGCTTTAGGACTGAGGCC